GTGTATCCAGGTCAGCGACCAAACGTGTGTTATGCACCCCAAATGTATGGGAGTGGTAAAAGCACTTTTGGGGAGAATTTCCAAACCTTTCTTTTGGCCAACAAAGACAGCTTGTTGCGTTATTNGAATANGAACAATATGTTTCCTGGCGTTGCAAGGGGTGAAAATGNAGGCGAACGTGCATTGGACGCTTTGCTTAATGAAACTTTATATGTCAAGTNGAACCTTGTTGAAGTACCAAACGGAACTAGTTTTCAAACGACACTTTNGAAGTGGANAAGCAAGAAGGCACTTGCCGAGTTTCCAAACGGTTCAGAATTGCTATCTCAAGTTCTTTATTGCANGAATAGTTCCGAAGAATGGCTGCAGAAACTCTTGCAAGTTACCCAAAAACGTTATTTATATCTATTCATTGACGAAATTGGAGCTTNAGAAGGTTTTGAATTCTCCAAGTTTGAGGATTNGATATACAGTTATGGACCAACTCCGGCGCACAACATTTATCGTGCCTTTTTTAGAGTCTTGTCCAGTTTGTNAGTCAGGCCTTTTGNAATTTGTGTTGTCGCAGGAAGATCAGATGCTATTATCACAAGACAACGAGATGCCAGTATTTCACGAGNAAGGTTGTCTTTTCTTCGTTTGGATCCCTTTTCAGAAGAGACTGTCAAGTTCTTTATACAAAATACGACGCATCATAATGAATCTATTCNAAAGCTTCTTTTTCCTAATCATCCAGAAGGACACGATTGGTTCTTTAAACAAATACATAGTTATACTGGTGGTGTTCCTTATTACGTTGTTTATGTTTNAAAGAAATTGTGCGAGACTTGTAGAATTGTTTCGAGATCCATTGATCCTTCAGAGGATGAAATCCAAAGTAGAANAGAGCAAATTCCTCCTGACTCTTCGCTTTCGGNGAGACCTTCTCATAGGACACCAGAGGCAANGACTACTTTCACTGCTATGCTTCTCGCGAGTATGTNAGAATTTCGTATTCCTATGGAAGAGACTCTGTTGGGTGGTGTATCTATGGGACTTGATTCCAAATATGTTCTGGATATTGCTAATCATTTTGGTTTTTATTACGAAAATTGTTCTAAGAATGAACACGGTGAAGAGATTGAAGCAAGTCTCAACCCAANAGAACAAACATTTGTCAAGTTGGTTTTTCCAAAAATTGCTTNAAAGTATATCGAAATTGAATGCTGGGATGTTCCTCCTATTCGTTTTATTTGTAGTTTGTTTTCATCCATTAGTCGCTTTGACTCACCTTCTAGTCGTGGTTTCAAGTTTGAAATTATATTTACTCTTATTCTTTATGTTCGATGGTGTTTTTGTTCCAGATTGGGTGAATNGAGTCTATTTCGGCATAGTCTTGNAGAAGATATTCCTANAAAAGTTGGGCGGAGAGTGGNAGGAGAATTCGAAAAGGATCCTATTCTCAAGTATGTTCCAGCATNGAGTTCCACAGTTGTTGGTATTCATAGTGCCAGCGAAGAAACTTATCATGNGAGTGCTTGGAAGCCGTTGTTTGAAACTTGGTTATCAAATGATGGAATATTTATTCCTACAAGGCAAAACTCCAGTGGACCTGATGTTCTTATTCGAGNAACACAAACTAGCGACAATTCTATTCTTATTGGACAAGATGCATCTTCTGNAGAGCAAATATCCATGGAAACTGAAACCAGTGCAAGTGATATTTNGAACAAACGGAGGATCTATTNGATTGGGATTGCATNGAAGTGTTATCAAATGTCAAGTCCTGGTGTTGGACGTTCTANGATTAAAGCAGAATGTGCTAAATTTTTACATCCAGTTGCGTCACAATTGGACTTGGAGAATCATAATANAATGGCAATTCAGTTTATTGNAAGCAACAAGTATACTGCAGAAGTATCCAAACAGCNGAAAGACAACCAAAATTGGGTATTGGATAGTGGAATTTATTATGAAGACCATAACAATCATATTGTCTCTAGTCCTATCAATTCTGCGACAAAACCACAGAATACAAGGGAAGAATGGCTATGGATTCCTCCTCATTGTCAAGTTGNAGTATGTTCTACCAGCTCTCTCAAATCCTTTTNAGGTTGCAAGGCTAGTGAAGATCNAGATAGAGTTTTTGGAGACCATCCATTATGGTTGGACCAACTCAGACCACTTTCAAATCTGTTGGAAAATTCATNGANAGACCTGTNGAGTCGTGCACCATTTGAGCAGTCTTCTAAGAGGAATATTCAATCCATGGAGAGGGGTAACCCAGTTANGAATTGGAATGTTATGCAAGTGGAAGAAGAAGATACACGAGGCGAACAAAGGGTTGCAGCATCGAGTTCTTTGTCTTCATCATTTGATTGGAATACTTTCCNAAGAGAACATTGTGGTCTTTCTGAAGAGGATGTTGCCTACTGTTTTAGGAAACTTTCAAGGTTTGGCAGAGTTTCGCTTTCCAGACTTAATGAAGATTCATTACTTCGCATGGGTATCAATGATCCCACCGNAANAGCCAAACTGCTTATTGGCATTACTGAAGAGTTTTCTTACTAACTTTAGAATATGAACGGATCCATTAACCGTATTTTTTTCTTAAAGTCGTGAAAAGAATAAATATAGTTTGGAGGAAGCTCTTACTGTCTGATAACTAGTTGGATTGATATGAAATTGACACTATCGATATTTCAGAATACTAATTAGGAACTATTTGCAGCAACCAATCTCACGAGAAAATATTATTTTCAGTTACTTTTTTTCGAAATTGAAGTTTGAGTTTGAAGTGGGAATTATTGAACCTCAACTGACAAGCTTTTATATCTTATTGCAAAGAGTTCAAGTCATTCCTTTATTAAGTGCAGAACGACTTTCTTATGACGACGAACATTCAAAAGAAACTTTTGGGAAAGGAACAACATCAGTGTGCTTATATGACAAAGTATCGTTAAAGCTTCTGCGAGGATCAAAAGAATTCACGACCTCTTTTTGAATGGTCTTGTCTATGAATAAATGGAGTTATGCTGCAGGTCACTGGAATATACTCATAACAGATGAAAGTTCCATTTGAGAATATTTTGTGAAAGAAAGAGAAAGGGATTACTTGTCTTCCAAACAACTGTACAAACTGCTACTATAATAAAGAAAGAGGCTCAATAAAATGGCTTACAACTGGAAGCAATGCAAAATCACTTGTTAGAAAATCTATTCTTTCACAAGGGAACTGATAGAACTTTACCAGGAAGCGCCAACGAGTGACAATAGAAGCAGTCACTTTAAAAGTTTTCAATTTTTGTTAAATCGTCAGCTCTGTCTTCAAAGAGTCTATCTCAAAGCTCTATATGGTGACATAATCTGATGTATGCTCAAAATTCTCTTGTAAGATTACATAGAGGTTGACAATTTTCTTCAAAACTTATGAATCCTCAAAATCAATCATTACAATCGACCACTGAATGTTTCAACTTTCCATAATTGCGAAAAGTAAAATCCAACAGAAGCTAACTATCAATCCCTTCATAGACAAACTTCACATTGCTTTGATATGGCGAATATTCATTATCTCGAAAATAACAACTGTTGTTGGGTCATTGGGTACCCTGTTCTTTCATTTTATTTAGTATCAAAAGTATTTTACGAATGAAAAGTGTCTTTAGGATAGATACACGAATTGGCGAACAACAATAATGGTAATAGAACAGACATGCTAGTGCAAAAGTTTCTGTCACTTTGTTTTGTTAGCCAAAATATATATCTTAGTCTTTCATCAGACTTCTTTAAAAAGTTGTTTGTTCCTATAGTCGATTATTTAACAAGGAACGAAATGGATTGTAGAATTTCTCTTTGTCATGATTCCAGAGAATTTCTGCTTATTTGGTTTCTTCTCTAAATGACAGCCTATGGTTCCTGGAACTTCCCTAATGTGACAGTTGCGGCTGCTCATGTGTCTTCAGTTTACTTTGATGTTGAAAAATCTCTAGAAAAGCTTGAAGCTTATGCTATCCAAGCAGCTAGACAAGGGGCAGCGTTGATAGCTTTCGGAGAATCGTTTCTTCCAGGTTTTCCGGTATGGAATTTAGTTTTATCTCCACTGGATCAGCACGAGCTTTTCAAAAAACTTTATGAAACTTCTGTGGAAGTACCAAGTGATATTACCGAAAAGATTGCGAGGATAGCCAGAGAAAACAGAATTCATATTTCTGTTGGAATTACGGAAAGAAGTAAACACAGTTTAGGAACTTTATGGAACAGCAATCTTATATTTGACGACAAGGGAATTCTTAAACGGAAGCATAGGAAACTCGTTCCGACTTTTGCCGAGAAGCTGACTTGGTCAAATGGAGATGGAAGTGGTCTCGAAGTGTTAGCGACCAACCAACTGGGTAGAGTAGGTGCCCTCATTTGTGGTGAAAATACCAACACGTTGGCACGTTTCAGTCTTATTGCACAAGGAGAACAAATACACATTTCCACATATCCTCCTTGTTGGCCAATAACTAGAAAGAGTAGTACCAATTATTCATTAGATGAAGCAATACGTATTCGTGCTGCAGCACATGCTTTTGAAGGGAAACTATTTAATATTGTTGCTTGCTGTTGCAAAGATCAGAGTTTGATAGACATTGTTTCAGAGTATGATACTTCTGCGCGAAACGTTTTGGAGTTTTCATCTCCCTCCATTTCGATGATAGTAGGTCCTCAAGGAGAGATTATTGGTGAACCACTCAGTAAGGAAGAAGGTTTGGTGGTAGCAGAAATCAACTTGAGTCAAGGAATTTTTTGGAAGAAGATACATGATATAACTGGAGGATACAATAGATTCGATGTCTTCCATTTGTCAGTGAATTTTTCTTCCGAAGAACCAATTGATGACTCCCAAAGAAAAGTTCATTTGTCAACTTCACAATCCAATTCAAATCATTCCACAGAGATTGAAGACCAAGTCGAAAAGGATGTGAGATCACATATGCCTTTGGTGTGAAATGCTATATTGGATCGCCTTCATCTTATAAATACTTTGCAGTTAATAATAGGTTGTAGGGTTTCATTTGAAACTTTTTGAAATATACCTTTGATAATACAATATCTCTCTCTGCTCACCTTCAAAAGTTATAGTTTCTTATTACTCAGTAAAGAATATATAATGCTTGAAATAAATACCAGCATGCTTAGGCTTTACAGCATTTCATTTGAGGAACTTCATTTCTCATGTCTATCGTGATGTTGTTTGAAACCATAATTCTAAATGTACACAATAGAATATTTAGGCTCCTTTGACTTGAATGTGATTTAGTATCTATATTTTCAGTGTTTCAATAAACTTTAGCTGAAAGCAACAAACGAGTTTTAAGTACATCCATAAACGAAAACTTAACTGTGTCGGTTGAGTATGTAATTGATTTGAGTTGATAAGCCCAGAAAATATAAAATTCTGGAAATACTCCCTTTTCAGGGCTTCATTATGAGGAGTTGTTGGACATAATATGACTTGTGGAAACTCAAGAAGCAGGTCCTCAAAACACATTTAGATAAAGAAGAAGGAACGGTTTATGATTATTCTGTAGTATCTACTTTGAAGACCATTTTGCATCTCAAGCTGCTAAAATTGTTTGGGATAATTCGTTACTTTCAAAACGCTATGGCTTGGATTGTTTCTACTTTTGGAACGGAAACTTTCAGACGAGGCGTCTTTTGTAATTCCTGTAAAAGTCTTCTTTCAAAAAAACGCAGTACTTTCTTTATTCTAAAGCTGAATAGATGCACCATGAACCTAACAGATGCCTCCTTAAGTAACATGACGGAGAGAGCAAAAAAAGGGCTCATTCAACATAAAAAGGAAGCATTTTGGTTTTATCGATTTCTTTCTATTGTTTATGATACTATTGTGAACCCTTTTCACTGGACAGTAGAAATGAGAGATACTTCCTTGAAACAAGCTGAACTTGTTAGCCGAGACCTGAAAGTTTTGGACGCTGGTGGCGGTACTGGTTTTACCACAGAAGGCATAGTCCAGTACGTGGATGCCCATAACATAACGCTGTTAGATCAAAGTCCTCATCAAATGGCTAAAGCGAAGAAGAAACCCAAATTATCCAGTGTAAACTTCGTGGAAGGAGACGCCGAGAATTTGCCTTTTCCATCGAATTCTTTTGACCGTTATATTTCAGCAGGTAGTATAGAATATTGGCCAGAGCCTCAGCGAGGAATTTCAGAAGCATACAGGGTCTTAAGGTGCGGTGGAGTAGCCACCGTTATTGGCCCTGTCCGAGCAACTCATTGGTTTTCAAGATTTTGGTGTGATCTTTGGATGTTGTTTCCTACAGAAGAAGAATATCGTTATTGGTTCCAAAAGGCGGGCTTCGAAGATATTCGTGTGTCTTATATTGGCCCTGCAGCTTATAAAGGAATTAGAGAGCACGGACTTATTATGGGTTTGACTATAAGTGGTAAGAAGCCTGTTAACGGACCTAGCGAACCGGTATGTCGTTTGGGTCCGATGCAGGAGTCTTTATCGTCGCCTTATACTTGGCAACAAAAACTATTGTTTCCATTTCGGTGGTTATTAGGTTGCATCGCTGGTTTCTACTATTTCCTATTGCCATTCTTTATTATGTTCTATGCAGCTGTTTTCATGAGAGATCGACCCACTAAAGACTCACAAACCCGTGTCTAGTCCCTTATACGGAGTATATAAAGTGGCTTTGCTTATTGGATAATCCCAAAAGAGATAACACTCATAATCAAAGCGTTCCTGCTTCTTAAGAATGTTGACTCCACAAAGTTTCTATGAAATGTAGAGATGTCGTCTTTTCATTTGTTTTGACCAAATGGTCACAAGAGTATATAAAAAGTGCTATATGGGAATGTCGATGTTATTTACCTCGAAACAATAATAAGTTGACTCGCATTTCAATCAGATTCTTGTTTCGATCACATTTTATTTCTTCTATGAGTGGCACTTGTTTCGTTGCTTTTTCTTCATATATTTCCAAACAGAGAAGACTTTGTAAGGCAAAGAACATTTTTTCATGTAGAAAATACAATATATGTACGTTTTCCTCAAGAGACTCTCCTTTATTTAACAGAGAGGTGGTTCGGTCTAGTCCTGCTGTAAAACTGGCACAACTTTTGATTGCTTCTATTCCAACTTGGACAGAATTAGAGTCCAAAGTGTCGCAGCTTCTTGGTTCGAAAGTTTATAGTTATCGGTTGGGTGAGTGGGAGCGACATGAAGACTGTAGAGTGGTTATATTTACAGATGAAAATTTGTGGTGTCCATACACAAAAAGAATATGCTTTCAGTTGGAAGAGAAAAGTATTCCTTATAGGTTTTGGTATTTGAATATGTTTCAACTCCCTTCTTGGTATAAGGATATCAATCCTCGTTGCCAAGTACCAACTGCAATAATTGATGGTGAGATAGTCTACGACTCTCCTGTAATTATGAAATATATTGAAGACAGATTTCCTGAGACAAAACCTCTTATGCCAGAAAGCATGACCAAGAAAATGAAGGAAGATTTATATGACTTTGAACGCTTGGAAAGAAGGATATCCAATACTTGGTTGCTTTGGTTCGATAAGTTGTTTAGTGAAGAAGAATCCCTGGACTCATTTTATTTTACTTTGGATAGAGTCGAAGAAGCATTGCACATTTATCCCGGTCCGTTTTTCTTTGGAGAGCATTTTAGTCTTGTTGACATATTATATGCACCTTTCATGGATGCTATTGCTGCAACAGCATTGTATTACAAGGGAATTCCAGTGCGGAAGACTGGAGGACTATTTCCTGCCATAGAAGAATGGTTCGATGCATTGAGTCGAAGACCAGTGTACCAAAATATTCGAAGTGATGAAATGACCATGATAAGAGCACTTCCTTACCAGTTTGATCATACCGAAATTCTTCCTCAAGCAAAAAGAATTGCTGAACGAATGGAAACTGATATGAGAAATATGGACATGAAGCAAGTGAAGAAGGATCCATTTGAGTCTCAAAATAGACTTTTAGCAAGTTCCAAGTTGATTCATGAGCGAACTCTTATCCTAGAAGTATTAAGGAGTTCTCTCGGTATACCTCATGACTCAACTGATTTCGTAACACTGGATACAATGCTCCGTTTTGTATCCAATGTGCTTATTGAAGGATATTTCTCAATGCAAGACTTTGTATTGGATAACTTATCACTTATTTCAAGTTCTCTGAATTTGTTAAAAGACACCATTCAAGTTCCTAGGGATTTAAAGTATCCTGCTTTTAGACAGCTCATTGCATACCTTAACTTTATTATGGACAATTTAAAGATGCAAGCTGAAAGTCAGGAGCTGAATCATCCAGTCTAAAACTAGAGTTGAAACTTTTATAGAGTTGCTTACCATTGCTTTGTTTTGAAATAAACGAATCCTCATAATTTCAGTTTTTTTTAAGGGCAAGTCTTTTCAACTAATGAAGACACTCTTTTAAGGAAGATAAATAGAAATTTTTTTACTCATCATAGTGTTGGAAAAATTATTCAAATATGAAGACGCTACTAAAGTCTTTAAAGTCCTTGGACTTTTCCAAAACACTGTTCACTCCACTAGACGAACAAGAGGAAAAGTGGATAGAAATTTTCTTGCAGCAGTCCTCTGAGAATAAAGTTACTTTACTTTCACCTGGTGGAAAGCTTCAGATACCTGTTGAAGAGCTTAAACTTCTGGTTCAAGATGGATGGATTACGGACATAGTCATTGATGGCTATTTATCACTTTTAATAGGAGAAAGTGACAGTTTCTTTATAGCAGGAAACACAACCGCCAGCGAAATACGAGATGTTTTGTTTAGGCCTCATATATTCGCTTTTAGTCCGTTCTTCTACACTAGACTTTGTGGCAGCGGTGAAGAATTTGACTTTGCTGGTGTTAGACAGTGGACAGTTGCTTCAAAGATAGACGTCCTTCAAAGGGACCTATTGCTTTTTCCCATCTTGCATTCTAAAGTACATTGGTTCCTAACCTGTTTGGATCTTCGAACGCGAAAAGTACTATTTTTGGATCCCTATCCAGGAAGGTTACCGGTGAAAGAAGTATGCTCGAATTTACTCCGTTGGTTGATAAATGAAGTTTCAGAAAAATACGGTGAGACAAAAGCGAGGGATTTAGAACCAAGCGGTTGGAGAATAGTGAACTGTTTTGATATTCCGTCCCAGAGAGACACGAATAACTGTGGTGTTTATCTGCTTCTTTTTGCACATCATCTTGAGCAAGGTCGAGTTATTAACTTTACTCAAGAGGACGTTTCCAATGCCCGTAAAAGAATTTTATTTAGCATTCTTTCTTCCAAGTTGTACACATTGCCCGATGACTTTAGTTGAACAATAAAGAATCGGGGTTTACCGTCGTTTGTTGTCATGACAGAAAGTGAGTTGTCTTTTATACTTGTTATACTTATTTTTCCAACTTGTTGTTCAGATGTTAGACGCAAGTCGAGAGAAAGAAAGTCTGGTAATACAGACTTGGATGAGGAGTTGTTATATCATAGCTCGAGTCCTGATCAAACATCTAGAATATCTGGGGGAGTGAATAGACGCTCAAAGATGGATCGAAGCCACAGCAAGTTAGGTAACAGTAATTTGTGTCTTCAAGATGAGGTTGAAGTGGAGGATTATATGCACGATGACAACGTAAAGGATGTTGAAATGAGTGCTGGTTTTCCAGCAGATGTATTGGATTCGGTTTTCAAATTGTATGTTACTCACTGTGAACCCAATTATTCTTTGCCTTGGCAGAAGAGGCGACAAACCTATAGTACAAGCACTGCATTCGCGGTCGGGAATCGACGTATTTTAACCAATGCCCATTGTGTTGAACACTCAACAGTAGTGAAGATAAAGAAACGAGGAAGTGAGAAGAAATATATGGCCCAAGTAGTTTCGATTGGCAATGATTGTGATATAGCTTTACTTTCCGTGGAAGATGAATCTTTTTGGGAAGGTGTAGAATGTCTATCTTCTGGTCGTTTACCCTATCTTCAGGAGGCTGTTACTGTGGTAGGATACCCCATTGGTGGAGAAAATATATCTGTGACCGCAGGAGTCGTAAGTAGAGTAGAACTGCAACAATATTCTCACGGCGCAATCGATTTACTCGGAGTTCAAATAGACGCAGCAATCAATCCTGGAAATAGTGGTGGACCAGCGTTCAATAGTCGCTTTGAATGTGTAGGAATCGCTTTTCAATCTTTGCTCACTACAGAGGCAGAAAACATTGGGTTAGGAAGAGTTTGCTTTTATTTGCAGCTTTCTAAACTGTAGTATTATTTAGTTACATTATTCCTTGGCTAGTAGTTCAACATTTCCTCGATGACTTTGACAGAAATGGCTATTATACTGGATTTTGTTATTGTGGTTTTGAGTTTCAGAGAATGGAGAACGAGTATCTTAGAAAAAGCTTTCATTTAAGTGATGAAAGTGGAGGTGTTCTGATAAAAAGGGTGGGTGAGCATGAAATATTTTTCATGAAACTAATAATAGCACAGATAGCGCCAACATCTCCTTGTAGTAAAGTACTTCAAAAAGGTGACGTCATTACACATTTTGATGGAGTACCTATTGCAAATGATGGAACAGTCTCTTATCGTGGTGGTGAGAGAATCAACTTTCATTATCTTATTACTCTCAAGTTTGTTGGAGAATCCTGTACGGTTCGTATCGTTCGAAATGGCAATATCATGGAAGTTTCCTATCCTTTGTTTGAGCTTCCTTTGTTAGTACCGATACATGAAAAAAGGCCAGTTCCTGAGTACTTAACTGTTGCAGGTTTAGTATTTGTAGCTTTGAGTGAGCCATATCTTCGTTCAGAATACGGCGAAAAGTGGGACTTTGAGGCTCCAGTGAAGTTACTGGACAAGTTGCTATACGGTTATAAGAGAACTGCGAATGAACAAGTGGTTATTCTGTCGCAGGTATTGAATGCAAGAATCAATGTGGGATATGAATGCCTAACAAATACAGAGCTATTGCACTTTAATGGCACTCGAGTGGAAAATTTATGTCACCTTGCCAATTTGATAGATGAGACTAGTGAAGAATTTCTTCGATTTGATTTGGAATTCGATGAAGTTATTGTTATAGAAAAACAAGCAGCACTGGAACAGAGTTCGCAAATTTTAGTTCAGCATGGCATTCCAACACCGCGTTCATTATCACACTCTATATAGATAGCAGGTTCATTTAGAATAAAAGGCTATTTTATAGCATCTGAATGGCAATTGACTAAGAAAACCGAATCCATTTCCGACGACACATGATCTGAGCCATTGTCCTATAACATTGTAATCGACTTCATTTGGAAATTTCAAGCTCATGAGCCAGTTCCTTGCTAAATGTTACAACGGGCAAAGTATGTGGATCATCAACGGTCGGGCTTTCGAAAAACAAATGCACACAATCTGCCAGCAACTGGTCACTACCACTTTTATCCGAATCCAAACATGATACTAGTAACCTAGAGAGTGCAATCTTCTTTTCGGAGTTATTGGGTAAAAATTCAGCTGCAACCCTTAGTAGCTCATAGGCAACCTTGGGAAATATAAGATGCTACTTATTCAGAACTACAAACACTTACGTCAATATCCAATCCTCCAGTTGCATCACCATAGACTTCGGGAGGCAAAAAGTCTTCAATATAGTTTCTAAATATACAAGGAAGAGATACAGTCTTCTTTCCTTCGTTTACGTCCACGTTCTCTTCACAAACGGAACATGTTGCTTCGCTTAAGAGAAGGCTTAAATTGGAAGGCCTACATAAATAGAGCACTCTTGGCTGGAGAGAAGGACAATTCAATAATAAAAAGTGAATGCGAGGATCAAAATCTGCCATCTTCAATGACAACTCGGCTCTGATATCTCTCAAAGGAAAGTAAACGCCGCAAGAAGGGTCCTCTTCCGAAGATTGTTTTTTACAAGTAGAATCCATAGAACTGCGATAATCGACCCAATCTTGACAACAACCGGAAGGAGTGCGATTGCAACGAAGGATTCCATGTAGAATATCATTCAACGAAAACACAAGATTAGAAAGCGTTTCTTTGTCTTTGTTCATACCAATGCGATAAGAAATTGCCTCTCGAAACAAAGCAATGGTTTCACGGTAAGGATCTGTCGCCTCTTCATTTCCATTGAATCCCTTCGGAACACCAGCTACAATCAAGCTATGAAGGAATAATGCATTATATACCTAAGCCGAGGAATCAATAATCAATTTTCTTCAACAACATTCTATTCTCACATTGATAAAAAAGCACATTCTCTCTAAAGAGGACATGCTGCGTAAAACATCATAGGAAATATACTAAATTAAAAGGCATATTTAAAAATAACAAGAATACATGATGAACAAAATACCTGCAGCTTTCGACAAGTCCTCAAAAATCTAGAGTATTTGGGCTCCAACTTTGGAATGAATACAATCTCATCCAAACCAAAATTTTGCTTTTTAAATAATTCAGCAACATGAAGAATCAATTTTTCACCTAAAATTGTAACAATTTGCTCCGCAAAATGTAAACTGAATTCCTACCCAATCCAAGAACAGGTTGGCTCGCTTTCAACACTGGAAACTCAATTGAACCGGTCAACAGCGAGTTGGTGCTAAAAACTAGAATTTGACCTTGATTAAGAACACACGAATGGCTTCTTCCTTCTGACTGCTCAACTGATTTCCGAAAGAAAGGAGAAAAAGAATATTTTGCCGTCGACGAATCGACAAAGATATGATGTCGCCTTAAGTGTCCATCTACAGCCAATAGGATACCCAAATCATTGCAAGTCTTTAGTATTTCCACAGCTTCGTTTCGAGTGGAAATCTAACAAAGAATATTGTTAAGGTGAAAGATAACTATTCAGCCAACAAACCTTATTTCTGGAATCGGACAATAACCACTCAACAGCATCACTACCATTAAAAGTAGAAGTATCGTCGGAACGTTTTGAAGTCATAGATAACGAAGAGAAGTTGATTCCTTTGCTCCCATCCGTATCAGATTTCTTCAAGACTCCTTACGGTTGTTTTAACACTCAAGCAAACAGAACAAAATCAATCAAACCTTTTTCCTTCGAAATCATAATTCGCATATGAGACAGAATACATTCTAGAGACCAATCATGGGCTGTAACCTCGAATGAGTCGCGCTGAAACAGTACTATTGAAGGATACATAGTCAATCCAAAACTTACAAAGAAGACTTACATTTCTTTCCGAGTCGCTTTAACATAGATTCTGTTCCTTCTTGGCTAGCTGAACCAGTTGACGAGAATCTTCGTAACTTGGGTTGCTGTTCAGATACTTCTGCTGGAATTGCGGGGCTATTTACATTGCTCGAGTATACAACACTTTCTTCATCCTCCGTTGAAGACGATAGTTTCATAAGTATCCTGACTCATTGAATAAAGATCATTCAAGTGACATAAAATACTTTTACCTCAATTTTAAAGAATCAATGTTTGCTTTCAACTCCTCCTTCACTGAATACCATTTTTCAACTTCTTCAAAAGATCTATTGTACGACAGATGTAATCTTCCTAAATAGATATCATCATTTTGCATGTTTCCCAGAAAAACTTCCAATAGAATATATCCATTTTGGAAATGAACCATTGGAATCTTCCACATATGTTTCCTAAAGGATGTCATAAAAGTATAAAATTGTCTTTGGATGTCATACCATCCCATGTTCGTGTTAAAGTATGCAATTGAACTCGTAAAAATAACTGCATCGTTAAAATTCTTCAGCTTCACATACAATCCAACTTGACTAGTAGAAAATCTAGTTGCTTCATCACAGGGTTCCTTAAATGAAAGATGGCCTTCAAGGAGATGTAATTCAACTGAGCTATCATCACTCTTAAATGCTTCGATGCCGTTGCTTTCTTCGTCTTCAACTAAAGCTTTTGATACATCCGTGGTGTTTATGGTCAAGTCTGTCTTTGGCTGTTCGATGTTTTTCTCTGGAAAGTTGATCGTTCTCACGTTGGGATATGCAATATGTCGAAATATTGCCTCATCAATAAAATGAAAAAGCTGCGATATTTAGAGCAAAATAAAAACAAGCAAAGAAGAAACTATACCAGCTGATTGAGATTATCTTCATGAAAGAAAAGATCGCCAGTGACAGTACTCTCTTCTCCAGACGACGAAGTCAAAAAAGATACTTCACTATCAGTAGAAATATGGAAGTCAACATTAAAATTGACAGGTTCTAAAATACAAAAAGAAATAGAGCCTAAAAATGGGTATTCTGGAAGAAGTTCCGCTTCTATTCGAGTATCTATGGCGACATCTTTTACTGTAACATGCAAGGTCACTGCACAAGCTTCTTGCTCTCCTGAAGTCGGTGGAGAAAGTCTAATCTTGTTATTCACAACAGCTACCTTACGAACAAGGCTGAACTTGATGAAAGATTTGAAATAAACTGAAACAACAGTTTGCAACGAAAGAACTCTTTCGGCTGAGTTATTTCTCTTCAATAGCTGCTCCTCAAACTCATAGTTGCGTATCACGGGTCTCTGGTCTCCAACCTGCAGCTTAATTTTCTGCAAACTCCAATCTGAAAAAAAACGATTCTAAAAGAAACAATTAGGTATCACTTTGATACGAAAAGAAACTTACATTCTCGGAAAGAGCAAAGTCAAGAAAGCCTTCTTCTAGACAATCTTGTAGCTTCTGTCTTACGTCATCCTCAAGCCAACCTTCCGCTACTCTCAAAACTCTCTGGAAAACCTCTTCCAAAAAGGAAGGCTACGAAAAGGTTAGACAGGACTAAAGTAGGAAAACTCCTCATCTTTACCTCAGTTTGCCAACTTTGGTCTACTTTCTCCTGATACTCTCTATGTCCGACGTCCTCAGGTTCCTTTCCTGTCATACTCTCCCAAGTGAATTCACGTTCAATAGCATCTCCTTTTCTTTCTAACTGGCAAAGTTGTTTCCACCGACATATACGAAATATCAGCACCCCCGTAAAAATAAGAAGGGAAACATATATATTCCAACTTTCAAAACTTCTGGAGGAAGTCGTTCCAAGCGAGAATCCCATAAGATATATTGTGGTACATAGTGCCACAACAAGAGACAAGTCCAAGGTCAGCTGCATCCGAATTTCAGAACCGTCTCTTCGTCAACTGTACCGACTATCAATTTCTTTCTCCAATTGAGGGAACCTGACTCCCTCTATGAAATGAAATATTTTAAACGTGCAAATAACGAATGGTTCACAAATTTGGGAGTTTTTGCACAGTGCCTAGACCTTTGATATATCACAAACGTATGAAGTCTTTGTTGGTTGGTTTTGATCGACAATGGTGACTTCGCATTATGTGTGGAGCACAAGGACGTTTCTGGTATAGTAAATTGACTTATTTGATAGTTGAAAATTCCTTTATGCATTCGCCAAGACTTTTAGAAACGTTGCAAAGTGACAAAGCCTTCGAAATGGATATACAAGTTCTGAATTCAATGGAGCTTCCTTGTAATAAATGTTTCCAGTAGAAACCGGACTGAAACGATTTAGCCTGAACTTTGGGACAGTGAACTCAACTAGAGACTCCAAATAATTTTCAACAAAATTGTCAGCACTGGAGCTTCTCAACTATCCAACACGCAAGTTAATTTACAGAGCTATCGTTGTAATTGCTTGAAAGCATCAAGTTTACGATTCATATGTTTCATCATTGACTGGCGAATAATGCGTTGTTTGTCATTTCGTTTACACGTATTTCTGCCTCGAGCTTTGAAGTCACAGGTTCTTTTGTCCAACCGGAGTGTCAAGTTTCCAGAAAGGTTAACTGTTCTCTCGAACAAATATAAAGTATATTTGGAAACCAGAACGTTTATGAGTCTTCAAAAAGAGAGACAGGCGCCCAGTGAAGACGAGTTACAAAAAAAACTTTCGAGCTTCGAATACCATGTTTTGAGAGAAGGAGGTACAGAGAGGGCGTTTACTGGTGAATATTGGGATTGCCATAAAAAAGGTGTATATGAGTGTCGTGCTTGTGGCCAACCACTTTTCCGTTCAGAGACAAAGTATGACTCTGGCTCAGGTTGGCCATCTTTCTTCGCCCCTATTGACGAAGACGCTGTAAAAACGCGTGTAGACTCTTCGCATGGTATGGTGCGCACTGAAGCACTTTGCTCAGTTGTAAGTGAATTATTTAACTGTTTAGTGTGCCCCTAAGAAAGGATAGTGTAATAGTCACCTTGGACATGTTTTTCCAGATGGACCTACTCCAACAGGACTTCGTTATTGCATGAACTCAGTTTGTTTGAAGTTGAAAGAAGAATAGAAGGGCTTTTTGGTTTTTATATACTGCATAGTGAGAGTAGCAGCTTCAGTAGTATTAAAGATGGAAATTTGTTGAAATGGAAAATTCATTCATCTCGACAAGGGATGAGATTGAACCCGCCCAACTGAATACAGAATGACACTGGAAGGAACCAAGTGCAAGATACTGCCACAAATACACACCACGTGCTGCATCTGTGAAAGCAATTTATCCGAGTTTCAACAACGAGTATATCACACTATTGCCAAAATAGAGAAAGGTCAAGTCACAACTTATGGTGAACTGGCCAAGGCGTTGGACTCGGCACCAAGAGCCGTTGGACAGGCTCTCAAAAGGTCAGCCACTAAAACTTGCGCTAACCTAAACCTTACACACTGAGTAGAAATCCTTTCAACTCCGACGAATATATTCCGCGAGTTCCTTGCCACAGAGTTATTTCCAAGAACTGTACCCTTGGAGGTTTGTTATACCCTTGTTTCTGACATATACTGAACTCTGAAACCAAGGATTTTCGGGAAAGACTGACGTGAACTCAGCAGAGATTAAGAAGAAGCTAGAACTTTTGGAGTCAGAAGGTCTAAAATTTCAGAACTTCAAACTGAAAGAGTCTATGCACGACAGGATATTAAACTGGCAACAACTGAGCAACATTAAAAAGTATTAAAGAAAATGGGTATTTTCGCCGGTGAGTAGCTTCAGTTTTGACAATTTCCTATTTTGGCAATAAGTGAAAGTGTTCTGCTCGTCACTGGCGAAATACTCTGTTCAGGGCCTTGTTACCATGTAAAAGTCTGGCCTCTTGATTGTTAGCTAACTGAACCGCATTATAAATTTCTGTTACATTCGTCTCCATGACAAGGCCACCGACAATTATCTCGTCGAGAACGTAGTGTACCTTCCCGCTTCCACGTTAGCTGTCGGTAAACGACCTTTGACAAAAAAACCTACTTTATCTGGATGAAATATAATATCAAGTTCGCAGACGTTCTCAAAACATCGGTCCAGTGTTTCAACAAATACTTGAATGAGATCGAGAATACCCAACTCACTTTCGACAGCGTCAACGCCACAGACGAAATAGAGAGTAGCGTAGTGTCTACGCTAGTTCAGTGATATTTCCTTGCAGAAAGAACCAAACAAACCTATAAATTATTCGTAAATCATTCTCCAAAAAAGGAAAACTAGCTTCCAAAAAGTTACACATCTCTTCACCGCGTCGGGTCACCAAAGCATAGCACTCCCTTCATCCTTGTTTATAAGAGGTGTATCTAAAGTCAATAGTTACCAACCTCACTAGCTTTTGTTGCTGTTCTTCCGAATAAAATGAATAAAACTTCGTGAGTCTTGCCTTGCCATGGTTGTTAATAATCAACAAAAACCTTATCATTCCCAAAAGAAATTTGAGCAACCACTCAAACTGTCGCATCACTGAATGAGAATACAGCTTCACTGCTGCTATATTGACAAGTCAAGCAATTTTTTTACAAACTGCGAGAGACTGCATACATTGTTGAATATTAACAAACAGACAAACTGAAGACATATGAAAAGAACGAACTAAGGACGGAATTGGAGTCAAAAATATACGTCGAGTGCAATATTTGAATATAATTCTTGACAAAGAGATATGTCGCCAACAAGCGAAAGATATACTCATTATTATTTACCAATTGATAGGAACTTCTTGCTTTGATTTGAGAATATCGTTCACTTTCGAAAAATGTCGACAGCCAAACCAGCCACTATCAAACTTTTAACACAGGAACTGGACCGATGCTATGTTTACTCACTTTGCTGCAGAATAAGGACTTGGATGTGCTGCAATAAGAACATGATGCCTCTTTCGGTCAATATCTTTTCCTTTTTGTTGGGCATACTTTCCCTATACACGAACATGCAGCAAATGACAAAGTGATTGAAGACAATTTATGCTCCTTACCCATAAAAGGAATATAATTCCATTGCAGTTGACATTCAACAGCTTCCAGAAATTGAAACAAGTACTGGAAATAATTTGAACCTATTTACCTTTATGACCTCGTTTGTAAAATACTCCCAACCTCTATTGGAATGAGAAGCGGGTTTATGTGCCTTATAATATGTCTAGAATTGACTCTTATAACGTATCTTAACTTACCTCCACAGTGAGAACAGAGTTTAACAGAAGGACACCTTGTTCAGACCAATGTTCCAAATTTCCTAAACACTCAATATGTAATGTTGACCAACAAATGAATTCAACAAACCCTGTGCTGGTCGTCTATAACCAGGAATATCAGTTTCTAGTTCCTTGAAAATATTTTCCAAACTTGGAGGACATTTGACTCCTGTAGGTACCGAAAAGCAAAGACCATGAGCTTGGCCAGGACCCTTCATAATCGCTTTCATATAAACTGTTTCATATCTTCGAGGAACTTACATGGTAAGGATCTTGACCAACAATAACAACCCTTACTTTGTTAAAAGGACATTTTTTAAATGCGTTGAATACCTGTGTTCAAAACAAGATCATAAGAGATAAGAACAATATTATAACGACAACTCTACCAAAGGCTCTGGTGGAAAGATAACCTTTCTCTTACGTTCTTGCAATACAAATTGAGCCAAATTTTCTAAAGTTTTCTGGTCCAACATAGGGTATAGTTGCTTCTTCCAGGAAGGCTCCAGATCCACGAGAAGCTATGATGAACAACTAAGTGATGGTACACCCTTTTACAGGGCTTCTCACCTCGTCTACTAGTGTTCCCAAAGATTCTACAAAACGATTCGGACTTTTATGAGAATTTCGACCAGTATCCATACTTGCATTTTCTTTGTCAACATCTGGCAAAAGTTTCTGCAAGTTTTGTGACTGTATTCTAGACTGATACACTACTTCAGATTAGTCCAAGACAAATTTGTGTTCCAACCTTTTTTACATTGAAGTCACTCTTTCCGGAATCAGTTTCAAGAGTTTTTTGACCTTGAAAGAACCTATCAAGAGGACCGCGCTTCATTTTGAATGTGCAGAGATGAGTTCGAATCCAAGGCGATAGTATGAAATTCGCCATTCTGAATAAAATTACTGCCGAATGTGGAAAGACCACGCCTTTTAGGCACCTTAACTCTACCAATGTGTTCTCTTTCGACAAGAAGAAATTATGATGAATGAATTACTTTAGGCTTCTTAATTTGGGAATTCAATTGAAAATGGTAAAGGTTTATTATCTGCCAATAGTACCTAATTGAATCCACAGTTTCAAAAGAGTTCCTAGCTATTTGTGGAAAGATATCTTCTCGAATATTCATCCGGATTATTGAAGTTGATTTTGTCGTTTATAAAGAAACACACTCACCAAAACTTTGCGCAATAAGGTTACAGGAAATCTTCAAGAAACTGCTCCAATGGTTGAAAGATCGAAGAACAACGTCTTCTCTTTTCGATTGTTGTACTGACGGCTAATTTCACTGTCATACAGTAGTTAATAAGAATAGTGCAAGGTTTCGTTATGTCTACAGAAATATTTACCTTTCTTTAAACGACGGAGGCAAGCGGCATTTAATTCAAGTCATTTTGTTCTTTATATGGATGAGGACTTGAGATACCCTTGGATGGTATTGTTGGCTTTCTCAAACATTCGTTTATTCACTTTTCTTTACAATAGGAACTTGCACGTAGTCATTTGTTGCAAAAAAGTGAAGCAGAACTATTGCAAAGCTGTGAGCAAAACTTGTCAGAAGAGCGAGAAGGCTTTCTTGATAAGAACTGTCGTTCTGTTGTGGTAAGTTTGGAATTGATTGCTTCTCACGTTAAATTTCCGGTTTCCAGGGTGCTATTCTATCCGTACTGTCTTTGTCAAGTAACGTGAATGAACAACAACGTGCAGCTAACCTATTTCTGTCCTTGTTGACTTCAAGAAAAAGCTTACGTCTCGAGGAGGCAATAGTGGCGGTGGCCAAGCAAGATTCGAAACGCAACTTGTTTCAGCCTCTGATTACTTTTCTTGAAAAGGAGAACCGAGCTTTAGCGGCTTCCTGTGCTCAAATCTTGGCGATTCTATTTTCTGTTGACTCTACGTACAAACTGGAACCTTTAGATTTGGTGAAGAAGCAATGTTCGCATATAGCCGACTGGTTTGGTAATAACTTGTTGGAAAATGACTCAACTGATGAAGGTTTCCTTCTTACCATTTTATCTTCATTGTGTCAGTTTGTTCGACATGATAACTCTAGACTTGCATTTGCTGAAAAAGGAAAGGATAATGTAAAGAATCTTTCTTATTTACTGGAGAAGAACAAACAAGAACCTGTTTCTATTATTTATAAGACACTTTTTGTTCTTTGGATGTTATCCTTCGCGCATAGTGCAGAGGTCAAACAAGTAGTTGCAGAGTCATTAGAAAAGATATTTATTTCGCGTCATATTTTAGAGGTTTTGAAATATTTTACTATGGAGAAGGTTATTCGAGTTACCTTATCTTTTACGAGGAACTTGGCTGCTGGTAGCTTGGGTCAAAGAATTAGACGTGAACTGATTGGTGCAGGAGTATTAGAGCAGGTGGTTATTTTAAGTTCGAAGGGTTGGAGCGACAAAGACATTGTCGATGACATAAATGCAATACAGTCCTGTTTAGAAGAAGAACGTAAAGTCATGAACAGCTTTGAATTATATCGGGAGGAAGTTTTGAGTGGTGCGCTGAATTGGACACCGGTTCATAAAGACCCTGTTTTTTGGTCAGAGAATGTTCAGAAACTGGACAAGAATAACTTTGAAGTGGTCGAAATGTTGGTGAGACTCGTTGAAGAAACTCACTCATCGGTAGTTGCTTCTATCGCATGTCATGACTTGGCTATGTATATGAAGTATCATCCATCGGGTAGATTGTAAGAATATTTTAGGTCTTCTATATTTTCATTTCTGTTGAATATGCATCTCATTAGGCATATCCAACGATATCATGTAAAGGATCGTTTAATGGAACTGATGGTTACTGGAGAACCGGTGAGTGAACACGAAATTTTCAACGAAATATTATTCAACCTAAAGCTAGGAAGTGAAGAAAGAGGCGTTGAAATGTATTCAAATGTTGTTTCTTCACAGATGGGATTTTGAAGAAAAGTCTTGAAGTATTACCCACATAAAGAACTTACAGAATCTGTTCCTCATCAGTAGCAGTTTATGAAATCCTAGTTTCATGTGTCAAATGGTTGGGATGTGAAACTAAACCTCTTTGGAATCCATCCCAGTTATGTATATTGTCACTCGAATACCATTCCAATGTACGTTGCAAACCCTAAACCAAAAAATTATCTTTTAAGGTTGTACGAAAACCAAAAAAAAGCAAACTACCTGTTTCCAAGTTACAAGTGGATGCCAACCCAAAGATCGAAGTTTAGTGCTATCCAAACGATATCTTCGATCATTGTAAGGGCGATCACGAACATACTGTATATGACTTTCTAGTCCATCCTTGTAACCAAAAAGTGAAATCAAGTCACGAATAACATCCTAACATCCTTTAAAAAGGCAACAGGAAACATAAACATGACTTACCAAAGTACAGCATTCAAAGTCCGAACCAACATTATAAATTTCACCTACGACTCCTCTATGCAAGATACAATCAATTGCTCTTGCGGCATCTTCAGCATATAACCTGAAACTGACATGAAATCTTGTCCATTGAAAAGAAATGCTGTACTCGCCAGTTGCGTCGATGCTTTCCATCACCATGAACAAAACACTTCTTTCCTTGTTTAAGAAGACATATCGATTTGGGAATCAACTTGTCCGGATATTGATGAGGACCATAGACATTATTTGAACGAGTAATCATAACTGGAAGTCCAAAGCTCTTATAGTAACCAACAGCAATAAATTCTGCTGCAGCTTTGGAACAAGCATAAGGATTAGAAGGAGCTGGAAGACTCAACTCTGTGTTCATTCCTTCATATTCTCCGCCATATATTTCGTCTGTACTTTGATGAATAAACCTTCCAACACGTCCATATCTTCTACAGCACTCTAGAAGTGTATGTGTTCCTAATACATTGGTCTTTGTGAAGAATAGTGAATTACCAAAGGAGGCATCGACGTGAGTCTGTGCAGCCATGTGAATGACAGTATCCACACTATGACTTTCAAGTACGTAACTCAGGAGATCTTCAGATAAAATGTCTCCTTTAACAAAGCGATAGTTTGGAAAGTCAGCAATATCGCTTAAATTTTTCAGCGAAGCACAGTAATCTAACTTGTCATAATTTATAATGACATATTCGGGATAATTGTGGAGTAAATAAGAAACAACATGTGAACCAATAAATCCAGCTCCTCCGGTTACCAATATTACGTGAGGCTTATAAACAAGTTTTGCAACTTCTCTTCCAAAACACGTCATGAGAAGAGTATTTACCAGTACTCAAGCGAGACTGGCTTCACACCTAAAAATATGTTCACAAGTCCCCCAAAAGAGACAATGCCAAAAACAATCACAAGTTGTTCCATTGATAAGAGATATAGCTTTCGGAATGCCATTGTTGGAAGCTCAAACTTTGCTTTTTGTAGCTGATTGATTAAGGTTCTTATGTTCTTTTACATATGAAGGCTATAGATATCGGAAGGAATGATCTTGGAAGCTTTTGTGTTTCTATATTTCCAAATTCATGAGTTGAATATTTCATAGATTTTTTTATTTTCGAAACTGGTATTCTCAAGTCTGAAATGATATGAATGTGATGTTCAAATAGAGCTAAGAGAAACAATTCTGAAACAAAATTCCACTCTTGTGAGAGAGTGGTCTTTTTGATGGTTCTGTGTAGATCAATCACTTTTCTGATATGTTTTAGAGTGATCTAAGAAATAACTTTCTTATTTAGGTAACAAGAGAAAGATACTTTGAAGAATTGTCTTGGAACTGTTGAGTAAGATGGGGAGATATAAATGGAAAGATGCTAATAGATAAGTTTATAAATGTATGAGAATCTTCCTTCTCCATTCCAATCCTTATTGTCACTCTGAAAATAATAAAGTCAAGTTTTCTAAGAAACTAAATGAGAAAATATAATTCCTCTTATATCTGGTACGACGAGGGAAAGCAATCTCTATAAGCCTCTATCTTCGATGAACATCCATTTATGTAAAAGGACAATCAAGATATAGCATGATACTATAGAATTCTGAAAAACTTTTCTATTCTAAATAACAAATGTATATTTTCGACAACTGGACAGCCGTTTGATCATATTCAAATGATTCGCAAACGTCATCAAAATTGTTCCTGTAAAAGAAATGAATCATTTGGTCAACAATTCGTTTCCTTAAACTTCCGTTATGGCAAAGTCTATGACTAAAAGATTGTATGTAAAGATATACCGAAGACTACGTTTTAAAAAATATTTCAGTCTAGTGTTAGTTTGGTTTATTATTGGCTTAGTTTGCCTTTGCATCTTTCTTGCCCAGTCACATAATAGGCGTGTAGCAGCCAATGCCAGTGAACAAGAAAATCACAATGTTTCTAGTCCAAAATACTCGCAAAAAGATCTTCCAACGAATAGTCAGTTATCTTCGAATCCGAACGAGATTAGTAAAGGTGTTCAAAGTCAGGGTGTTTCCAAAGAAGAAAGAGAAAGTCAAGTTGAAGAGAGAAGAGAAGCCAACTCCCAAACAGTCCCTCTCTTTTTGGGAGACAACAGATCTCAAGACGAAGAAAAGGAAGAATTGTTCCTTTTCGTTGCTATTACAACAGATCACAAAAACTTTCAAGCTAGACAGTCAGTCAGAGATACTTGGCTTCAATTCCCAAGAATTCCAAGCTGGGAGGCGTACTTCTTTGTTATGCAAAGCCCCAACATTACTTTGCAAAGATGGGTAGAGGAAGAAGCAAAACAGTTCAAGGATATAATTATACTGCCATATCTGGAAACCTATGCCAATCTGACTCTGAAGACTCTTTCTCTGATGGAATGGATTGATCAAAATATAAATGCTACTTTCATTTTCAAATCTGATGATGACGCATACGTGAATATACCAAGACTAGCGCTTTGGCTGCTTAAGAAACCCTTACAAAGATTCTACACCGGAGGAGTCAATAAGAATTCGAAACCTGTGCGAATAAAGGGCCACAAATGGTATGTATATAGCTCATTGGATGCTTGTTTCATACTATAACTCAAGACTTTGTTAGGTACGTAAGTTATGATGAATATCCTTACAAATACTATCCAGATTATTGTATCGGCAACGGTATATATAGATTTGTTCTTTTGAACCAAAACATGTTGTTGATTACATTCCGTGATAGGATATATTGTTTCAAGTGACCTTGTTTCCATTCTTGGAAATTGTTTGCCAGAAAATCTTTCATGCACCAACGACTATCCTTCTTGTGTGCCTAGAAAGAGTTGCAGTGTTCCATTACAATTTTATCGAGTCATTGGTTTAGAAGATATTACAGTAGCTATTATTCTTAAAGGTATTGTAGCCTGACAAATACTATAAGCATCTATAATCTTATTGCACTTAGGCTCTGCTGGAGTGGAATGTGTTCATGGAGATGGGAAGTTTATAAATGAACCATACTTTTATTGTAACACTAAATACAGTCCTCGATGCCTTATGGGATTGAAAGAACCAGAGGACCAAAACGTCGTATGCAATCCAAGATACGAAGTATTCTTTATTCATAGAGTTGTACCAGAGCAAATGTATCGATACCACTTTAACGGACCTGGAATCGGTGCCAATATCAAGATGTGTAAGAATTCTTCTTTTTCAAGTTATCCACTGCTCTGAATGCTCTTGTTGATGGGAGCATTTCCTCACAAGTTCCACTCTTTTTTTAACTGCCAACATAACTTTTTGGTTCGATTACTCTCATTGTGCGATGGATATACAAAATGGAAGAAAGTGATTGGTCTGAAATTGGCGACAATTGAAGAGCAGTAAATTGTATTGAAACTCTTCGACACAAGTTGGTCAGTAGAGATTCACATGGATAGTCTTGACGTTGAATCACTAACTGACTTGTTTACAAAGTCTTGGCTTTGTATCCGTTTTCGAAGACATCATTTATTCATATCATTTTTATTGCAATATAAAGTAATTGATAGCCGTGAAGCATCCAATAGTCAAAATCATTGAGCATTTTTTGGACTTTGACAAGATGATAAGAGCCAAGTGGCTTGTAAAGGAGTTGCACGAGCTTCTACCTTCAAGATGGTCACATTTTTATATTACCAATAACAAGAATCGTTTGAGTAGCTATACTACTAACCTTTCCCATCCTTGTTTGAAGAAACTCCATACTTCTGCTGCTGATTTTCAAGTACAACAGAGCGTAAGTGTATTGAGCTTTCCCAGTTTTATATTTATTATTCCTAACTTAGGATCCAATGGTGGTGGGTATGACTCCTCGTAGGAAACTTCCACATAACTTTGGATTTGTTGTAGTACCACAGCAGTGGAACTACATCGTAGAACGTTTTGGGAAGCTCCACGTTAAACTAGAACCCGGACTTCATTTTTTGATACCATTTATTGATAGGATTGCATATGTCCACAGTTTAAAGGAGGAAGCAATCAGCATTCCTAACCAAATGGCTATTACTAGAGATAATGTGACTATTCATATTGATGGAGTGCTCTATGTTAAAGTGGAAGATGCAGTCTTAGCTTCTTATGGTGTAGAGAATCCATACCGTGCACTTGCTTTATTGGCACAAACAACTATGAGATCTGAGTTGGGAAAACTTTCTCTCGATAAAACTTTTGAAGAAAGGGAAGCACTCAATGCTCGCATCGTCAATGCCATTAATGATGCCGCAAGAGATTGGGGAATGCGTTGTCTTCGTTATGAAATACGAGATATTAGTCCTCCTGCCAACGTTAGAAAAGCGATGGAATTACAAGCTGAGGCTGAGAGGCGTAAAAGAGCTCAGGTATAATAGATCTTTAATATATCCATCACCTAATGATTTTTTCCGGGTAGATCCTCGACTCTGAAGGAGAACAACAAAGTGACATTAATATAGCAGAAGGAAGAAAGAGAGCAACTATATTATCTTCTGAGGCAGTCCGTGCTGAACAAATCAACAGGGCAAATGGTGAAGCGGAAGCCATATTGCTAAAGGCAAACGCCACTGCGAAGGGAATAGCTACAGTAGCAGCATCTATTAGAGCAAATGGAGGCTTAGACGCGGTGTCTCTTCGAATAGCAGAACAATACATTGCAGCATTCTCCAACCTTGCTAAAGAAAGTAATACTATATTGCTTCCTTCAAATACTAATGATGTGAGCAGTATGGTTAGTCAGGCTTTGTCCATATTCAAAGCCCTCACTAGGAATGAATCATTCAACGCCAAACCAGATAAAACTGAAGGAAGAGATACGCAAGAACAGCAATCCGCTCATTCACAAGAAAGCCAAAGCGATATATATTCTGTGTCGCCTATACTGCGTGGAGATTCCAATCGTTCCAATTCAACTTGAAACTTTGACTCAAGTTATTGACATTCAATGTTCCTGTATTATTAAGATAATTCATAGAGAGGATAAGAATTTTAGGAGATATTCTCAACGTATTTGTGGAATGTCATATGAAGAAAAATAAATAATTCCAGTCACTTTGGTTCGTTCCCCTAACTGAACGACTCGAAAGCGTGCCTCTTTCGATAGCAAAGGACTTTTGACAAAGAGGACAAGACTTGGACCGGCCTACCAATATCCACTTGAGGATACAAGATGAGTGGAATATGTGCCCACAAAATAGCCTACGGACAGCCTGATAGCCAATTTCCTCGAGGCATATGCTACAGAACACAAGTTCACTTTCTATTGTTTCAGTCTGTCCCTTGTCGCGAAAGAGTTGGTCAAAGGATACTTCAGGAAACACTTTGTCAACGTTATTCCGGTTTAAAATCAAATGAGGGTCAAACAACTTTCCACTTTCGTCCAATAAAAGATATTCTTCCGTAGCCACATGATCAAGGACAAGATCTGACATGTTTCCTATAGGAACACCTTGTGCAAACTCTTCGTCAAACAAGGGATTGAATAGTTCTCTTCTTTGTTGACTCCTTCTCCTTGAAACAAGTCCAACCAGCGACGCTGTAACAAGTATCGCCACTACCGTACCCACTGAAACAAATATATAGCACAAGTTACTGCAGTTGGAAATACCACTGCTTTCCGACATACAGTAGTCCTCTACAACCACACATCTGAATTTGGGAATTTCCGTTGAGATTCCAACGTAATGCTATTGTGACATTCTTCAGTTCATTTCCCTTCATAGCATTACAAGTGTCAATACTTTCGCAACAAGGTATTCTACCAAATTTAGATACAACTTTAGACAATATAAAAGAAATTCCGTTTACAATGACATGAAAAAGACACAACTATTCTAGTCATTTGTTTGATATTTCAACTTTCTTGAGCTACTGTGAGTTAACAATTCTTCAACTGCAAATAACAAGGAAGAGTTCTGCAACAATTGGAATATTAGAAATATGAATCTTTCAAAAATTCACTTGCCTTGTATAATTGTCTCAAGTGCTTTGATGCAAAGAGTAAAAGTCTTCTATTCACATCCTTTGATGATTGTGGAAACTTTCCAAGAGCCCAGCAAACCAGCAGCAAATCTAAACGAGATAAGATATCGCGTTGTCAAAGATTGGTTGTAATGTTACCATAGAAGACTCGAGGACAACTCTTCTGCATTTTGCAAACATAACAACAATATTTCCTTTCATAAGAAGAATCAACTGATTCTTATCCTTAACAACAGACTCTTACCGAGCAGTTACGAGGGACTCATAGCTTCCTATGTTGTATTGAATTTCAGCAAATAACAAAAAGTAAAACCAATTTGAAGGATTCAAAATGATCAATTCAGAAGCGGCAAAAGCTGCCTGTCTTACTCATAAGTGAAACTATACCGAACGGATTTTGGTTGCTTGCCTCCTCGTATTTCCTCAAATATAAATATATAAAAACAAGTTCACACCAAGACTCTTCATCTACCATAAAGTTCTTTAAATAATCGCAAAGAACGACGGCAGCTTGCTCATAAGAGTTCAAGCTCTTCAATATTGCAACCTGTCTACATTAGTCGCTATAAGTCAATAAGCGCTGATTGCTCAATAAGAGGATACCTCTTGTATAGCTGCGGACAGCTAGGATGCTTTACCAAGCTATTTTCGTATACTGCGGCTGCTGCTCTATAATCAAGACGGATTTCGTGAAACAATCCGAGCAGACGGTGCAGTCTCCAGTTGTCTCCAAACCTCTTTTTGATTTTGTCACAGCACCTTCATGAAAAATAAACTCAAAATAATAAACAAGACGAATCATTCTAACCAGTTAAAAATTCTGTAGTTTGACACGTCGGCAGCAGCAAGGGCAATGAGCTCGATCGCTTGCCAGTATTCAATTGTTTCAACTTGGGTGTCACGTAAAACACGAAAAAGAGGAAGTACTAGATCTGGTCTTCTCAGTGAATAAACTCTTACAAATGACAAAAACTCTAGTGTCCTGTCTACTTTCTCCAGAATATCAGTTACAACAGTACAATTGCGGAACCGAACAAGTAATTCCATTCCTCAGTCGGTCATGGCATTTCCATTCTAGTGATGCAACATCATTCATTGTTAGAAGAAAGAATTTCTTCAGGTAAAGTGCCTCATTGTAGAGCTTATCTTGAAATCTTTGAAGAAAATATGTTTTACGTCAATATACAGAATATAGAATCCAAAAAGTTGGATAAGGAAAGACCTGAGGCCAAGAGGGTTTCAAAATCAACCAAATACAATGAGCTTCATTATTCCAGAACAAATTGATTACTTAAAGTTACTTCGAGAAGTCTTTAATTGCTTTTAAAATTGGAGAGCTTGTTCAACAAGTTACATTGAATTAGGCCATACTATTATGTTTCAACAAATGAACTGAGCTATTAAAAATACAAGTCAGGTTGATAGCCCTGTCAACAAAAACTTGGGAAAAACTTCTATTCTCTGAAAAGCGAATGCAAAGTTCTTTGTAGAAATTCCAATGTTATTCAGTGCTCTCAAAAAAATTGGAAGGATCTGTTTGAACCTTTGAAAAATTCTGACATTTGCTGCTATTTTCGCGAATACTGATTTTCTGTGCCTCCAATTGTCCTGAGATTGCATATAAATAGTGCCAAGGTAAAATAGATTCAAGGCATAAAGAGGAACTGCACTAATACAAAAGTTTTTCTATGGTCTTGGACTAGAAAGAAAACTGGCTCGTCCTATCTAATCGACTGAATAGTTTTCGTAACCTGTACGAAATAGCCAAAGTAGAGTTGTTCTATTGAACTTGCCGAAGCTAGGAAGTTCAGTTGCTAGGTATTCCATCATTTTATCTTCACCAAGAATTCCTTAAAAATAAATACTAAAAGAACATATACAGTTCTCACTTCTACAACAACTAAACATTCTTCCAACTAAAAGGTGAAATCAGTACAGTATGTCCTTCTTGTAACTCGATACAAGGCTACACGCCTTAAAGAAAATGAAGTGTTAAAAGGTCAAAAATTTACATCAGCAATGGTATTTTTCCGCTTTCATTATAGAATTTTTTGTGAAGTTTCGGAAATGAGCAAATCCTATTTCCTTCCTTAATGGCTGCATATACAAAGGGAATGCTGCTGCGTAACGAGTCTGTCTTTAACACTGTCACAAAATAACCAATCAAGAAGATACCGATATAAGTTTTCAGGCTTTTACACATATTATTGCTCCTCAGCAATACAATATCGAGTGGAGAAGAAAAACTGTTTGCGACTCCGGCTTTTGTCCTCTGTTCTCAAACAGCAACTGCACTTAAATTCTGAAAAGTTGAAGCCTTTTATGGTATCTTCTTTAATATTTGTCTATTATTGAGTTAACCAATATCACAATTCAGCCAAAAAATAACCAATACATACTAATCCATTGCTTCAGAGTACAAATTCACCTACTTTCATTTACAACAGTTTTAGATGGCACATTGTAGTATCGCATGGATACAACAGTCATTGCCAGTGTTAAGGCAAAGAAGTATTGAAAGGAAAACGAACATTCATGTTTTGAATAGGTTGCAATATTGCTCTTATTGTCGGAAATGCAAGTGGAAGCTTTCAACTTTCAAGTATCTGAAAATGGAAAGTAACAATAGAGAAGAGTCGGTCGCTTGTGCATCATCAGCTCACGAAAGTAGCACAACAGTTGAGGATCCTGTTACGAGCCGGAAAGACTCAAACTTTTATAGAAAGTTTCAACATATCCCGAAAACTCTGAAAGACTTGGAGTTTTTAACTTTCAAGTGGTAAGCAACTTGAATTTTGAATGTCTTGTATCTCACTGTGTTCTTCAGGAAGGGAAAGTATAATATCAATTATTTTGTAGACGGGAAGGAAAGTTCGGAACCTATCCTTCTAGTTCATGGTTTTGGTGCCTCCATTGCGCACTGGAGGAAAAACATACCTTTTCTTGTTGAAGCTGGCTATCAAGTATATGCAGTGGACCTTCTTGGTTTTGGAGCAAGCCAAAAACCTCTCCTTAGGGAGTATTCTCTTGAGCTTTGGAAGGAGCTTTTAGTCGATTTCTGTTGGTGTATGCGGCAAAACAAAGTATGTTATATGCAGTTTGTTTATTTTTGCTAAAGTCGTCTTTTTAGAAATGGATATTGTGTGGCAATAGTATTGGCGCCCTGTTGTGCTTGATGGTGGCTTATGACTTTCCTAATATGGTGGAATCCTTGGTTCTTCTCAATTGTGCTGGAGGATTAACCTCGTTTCGTGAAACGGAACTTTCTCTTCCAGGTGCTATTCTTTACCGTCTTGTTCGGCTTGTCTTGTTCAATTCTTTGACTGGACCCTTGTTTTTTCGAAATTTTCGTACTCGTGAGAATATTTTAAAGTTGCTCAATCAAGTATATATCGATAAGGATGCTGTTGACGATTATCTGGTAGAAATGTTACATCTTCCGTCCTTAGACGAAGGAGCAGAACACGTATTCTTGAAGACACTTGGAGGGTCTCCTGGTCCTTCACCCGAAGAATTACTTCCAAGTATATCTTGTCCCATATTAATGTTATGGGGAGAAGACGACCCTTGGACGCCCTATAGGAAAGGCTTTCATCCTGGCATCAAGTTTCCAAATTACAATAAGAATCTTAAGCTTATTTCTTTTCCTGATACTGGACATTGTCCTCATGATGAGAGACCTCAACTAGTTCATCAAATTTTGCTTCCATGGCTCCAAAATAATAAACAAGTTGAGAATAGCTAAATCCCATTTCAAATTTTATCAAAAACGACAAGTATTCTTTTCTAGAAATATCAGGACTAACTTCAGCAAATTCCTCGAGTCAAATAAGCTTGTCGTAAGTGATGACGCCTTATTCGACTTCCAAACGAGTGACCGAAATCAAAGCATGGCACACCAATACTTGCCGACGAGTTGTAGTAAGACTTTGTCCCATATTGTTGCTTCCTTTGTATCAAATAACGTGAAATGCCTTCATAAAGTGAAAGTGTAATTGCTGCCAGCGGAGCTAGGAACATAACTCGTGGAATCACACCTTTGAAAAGAGCAGTTGGGCCTTCCTCTGTAAAAATTCTCTGAAGAGTAGGAAAGATTCCTTTGTATTGTAGAGTATCCGAAACTCTCTGAGTCATCAGCCTAGTCTTCACAACATCCACCGGAGTCATAATAACTGCTGCAAGAGTACCTCCTGCTCCGGCAAGAAACAGGTTTTCACGGTTGGTGGGTTGTCTCTTCCTAAGACGACCAAAAAGTCTCTTTAGTTGCGCGTGAAACAAGAATGAAAGGGCATTCCAAGGGACGTCGCGAGAAATTGTAGCAAAATATCCTTTGTAGAGACCACGAAACCCCTCTTCTCTGAGAACTGTTGGTAACGCTACAACAACATTGGGATAAATATCTGCCTGAATACGCTGCTTTAAAACTTCTTGTGGAACTCTTACAACTGAGGCTGCAAGAGCTCCACCAGCTCCTGCTAACAAGTCCCGTAAGGCTTGGAATTTGACATTTGGCAAGAGCACCTGTAGTTTATCCTTGCAAAATTCGTAAGAAAGAAATTGTATAGCTCCTGCAGGAACGGCCAAAACGATCTGTGGAATAACGCCTTTTGTGAACACTCCTGGGGACCAATTTCTTTTCACACCCTTTGCTTGAAGTCTTGTTCGGGCAACATCTACTGGATGCAAAAAAGTTTGGGCAACTCCCCTTGCTATCGCACCACTTAGCAATTTCTCTAGGAAGTTTAGTTCATATGAAATTTTGCCTCCAGATACAACAGTTTCATTTTTTAGTCTCTTCGAATCTTCAAACAAGATTAGTCTTGGGTTACTAGCAAAGCCAAAACGTACCCCTTACTCCTCTTCTTCACCATCCAACTAACTGAATTATCTTTCAATTTGTGGTGATTGAGATGAGACTGTCTATGTTTTTGAGCCTCAGTAATTTTTCCAAGTTGCGCAGTACACCTTCGTTCTCCAGAGCTGTTTCAAAATCGCTACATCACTATGCACCTTTTTGCCTTTCTAGTAAAGTTCTGAACCCTAGTCGTCATCTCTCGTTGTATTCCCAAAAAAGTTATCTGGGTTCATCCTCTTGGAGACGTTGGAGTTGGCACAATAACTTTTCTTCAACCAGTCGCTTTAGTAAAGTGGACCAGGATTCTGATGCCGACTTTCAGCCAAAGATTAAAAAACCCGTAACTTCTAGTATTCACGACGTTATCAAGCAGGTCGAGTAGTTTATGGTGTGTGACTCGGTGAAACTCACTTTGTTGTGTAGCAAGTGGACAATGCCGACGTCGTATTGTATATGAAGGGTTCTCCTTCGTCACCTATGTGTGGATTTAGCTTTAAAGTTGTGCAAATATTGAATAGCTTAGGTGAGTGGGGTTGTGTTAGCGTGTAACAACTTACATTTATGTGTCTCAGGTGTTGAGTATCAGACATACAATGTTCTGGCTGACGAAACCTTGCGACAAGGTATCAAGGACTTTAGGTGAGTTGAACTTTGAAGTTTCTGTTGTTTTGTTTTACTTTAGAATTTAGCAACTGGCCAACTATTCCACAGCTATATGTGAAAGGCGAGTTTGTGGGAGGCTGTGATATCATAGAGAACATGTACCGTTCAGGAGAGCTGCAAGCTTTACTTTCAAGCTATTCTAGAAATACTCAAAGCTCATAGGCACTTTTTAAGGCAACATAAAGCATGTATTGCAGTTGAAGCTTTTAGAAAAATGTTTTTTGTCTTTCTCATGTAAGGGCTCTGTGCAGTTATTGCAAACTTCTATACATATATATATTTCATTTTTTCGGCGAACTTGCACTAGCTTTTCTCTTCTCTTCCTTATATTTTGCCTTGGCAATTTGAATCCGCAACAACTCGGGAACATATTCTTTGAGGCCGGAAGGACCTAGCTTCAAACTTTCCGTTAGCAATTCAGGATAAAGACCTTCTATCTTTAAGTCAACATAAACTGGAGCCAAGGAACCAATCTCGTTCTTGTGAAACTTCAGCTGTGGAAAACTGTACAAGTCAGGTATCACCAACTGTTTGTCCGGCGTTCTCTTGAAAGCTGAGAAAACTACACCTTGTGTCAAAAACTCGTACATTCGTTCGCCTTTGAGAGACAAAAATAACATTTTTCTGATAATTTGTGCATCCTTTTGTCCGATCCACTCCATTGCCAGCATTTGGTTTGCCATAGGTACACCGGGAGGTAAAACTCCCGTTTTGAGAATGCACTGATATAAGCGTGGAATCTTTCCAATATCCTTCGGTCTAATTTTGTTAATAAGCAAAGGTCTTACTACGCTTTCATAGTATTCCTGTAATATAGGTCTCATAACAAGGCTCTAGCGTCTATTAACTTTTTCGACAGCGCCCAGTTAAACACGATCGGAAGTCTGAATGAGTTGGGAAGAAATGATTTGGAATCAACAAAAAATGATCAAATGAAACTATTAAGAAGACTACCAAAAGCTCTCTTTACCCAAATACCCTTAGTAAAGTCCTCGTTCAAAAGAAAACTTTAAATATTTTCGCTCCTATAAAATGATAATATAAGAAATTACATGTGACTACAAACTTTTGAATGACGCTATATCGTCGTTACTTGCAGTCAAAAACCTGAATATATGTATTCTTATCAGAGTCTTTCAAGTGCCGAAAGTCGTCAGATATAATATAGAAATGACATAAAATGAAAATGGAAAGTGGGAATAGCAAACTTCCAGACTAACGGCTCAATTTTGAATTTGCAGCTAATGACTTCTTCGTTGAAGCGTTCCCGCGTCGAATGTGACCCGGACTCGAAGGTTTTATTCAAGTCACGAAACGAGTGTTCTATTATATCACGACGACATGTTGCAAAGGTGCCACTAGGTTTGGCAAACCTAGGAAATACTTGTTTTATGAGTGCTGTGATACAAGTTCTTTTTCACTTGAAAGATTTTCGAAAACTTATTTTAGTTGAAGAGAATTGGAAAGTATCTAGCAGGACGAATAACTATTCCTACAGTATTGAGCAGGACTTAGCAATTGCCAAGTCCTTAAGAAACGTGTTCCTCCAGCTAGAAACAGGTCGAGAAAGTAACGAAAATCAAACTTATATTTCTCCGATAAGTCTTCATGCGTGCCTTAAAAAACATGCCAATGAACTCTTCAACTTTCAGCAACAAGATGCTCATGAGTTTCTGCGATTTTTACTTGGAAGTATTCAAAACTTGTTTGCCAGCAAGAAAGAGTCCAGTTTGACACTCAAAGATATAAACTCGGTTTCGAGCAGTGGTCAACAACCGAAGGATCTTATTGAAGCTTTGTTCGGGGGCTTAGTTGTAACCAAGACACGTTGCTTAGAGTGTGAAAATGAAACTAGACACGAGGAGACATTTATGGACATTAGCCTTCCAGTTCATGGACGTCGTTCGATAAGTTGGGCAATTTCAGACTGCTGCAGAAGAGAAGTTTTAATGGGAAACAACAAATATGCTTGTGACAACTGCTTAACATATACTGAGGCTGAAAAATACTGGAGTTTTGTCGAACTACCTCCTCTTCTTATATTTCATTTGAAACTCTTCTCAGAAAATACAAGAAAAGTGAATCAGGTCACTCCTTGTCCTCTCGAACTGAAGATGACGAGATGGTGTGATTCCAAAGTCCAAAATGGCTACGATACTTATCGATTATCCGCAATTATAGTTCATCAAGGCTTTGGTCTAGGTGAAGGTCATTATTACGCATTTGTTTCTTGTTACTTGACAGATTATGTACATTGTTTTAAGCATGAAATTACAGAAGACAATCCTAGTAGCCATTGCTTTCCATGGTATTGCCTTAACGACACTGAAACATTCATTATTTCGGAATCGGACTTGATGCAACGATTATTTGAGTGTCCTACTTGTGTAGAAACCCCGTATCTTCTGTTTTACGTGAAGGAAACTTGAAATGTGCATAGGTATGCAAACTGTGAAGTATCGATTAGACCTATTCAATAGAAGAGTGCCATATGTTTGTACCTTAAGATAGAACTGTAAGCTGTTTCTCATTAGGATAGATGGATTGCTATTTAATAGGCAAAGATTTGTAAAGACCAAGGTTCGACAACAAAACATATCTTATTGTCACTTTGTCGACTCTTGGGATATGAGCTACCTGTAAAGAGCTCCACCAATTCAATGCTATCCATTTCTGATACTGCTTCATCAAAAGGAATGCAACCAACTCCATTGCCATCACTATGATTTATCACAACGAGGCGATAAACAACTTTGTTATTATCAGAGGTATCTATCCATCTCCATTTCCATGCCATTAATCTCCAAGCTTCTGGTTGTTGTTCCTTTTCAATATTTATAAATGACCAATTTCCTTGATGAAATATGTCGTGACTTAGGATTTGGTTGAGTTTATAGTAAAATGCTAACGTCTCTGGATCTTCTGGTTCCCATGCTGCTCGACGTAAATGAATATCTAACTGGTTCTTCTTTCCTTGCCACTCTCCATGAAATTGGAAGCGAATACCAGGCAACGTGAAACTGATCGAAGCTGCTGAATTGGCTATGGCCCGAGATCCGAAATACTTTGCAGCACGAGGCTCATCGTGGTTCTCTACAAAATGTGCACTATGTGCCAAAAATTGTTCCGATTTTGAGCTTAAATAGGAACGAATACTGTCCAAATTATTACTGTAGATAATATCATATAATGTCTTATCATAAGTAGCATCAAAGCCAAGATCTTGAAGTTGCTGATCCAAGTTCCAGTAGACCTCCGCCATTAAGATGGTATTAGGATATGTCGACCTCAATTTCTGTATAGCTTCTTGCCAAAACTCCTTTTCTGGTCTACTATAATGATTCCTTCTCAAAATATCGCCCCAGGTCTTGATAAGTTAAGTATATGCAGAGAAATGAGATACAAGTTCTACCTTTTCAATAACATCATTCAAGATAAGCATTGCCATGTCTACTCGAATGCCATCGCACATACTGGCAACTTTCATCAAATTGTCCATCATGGCCTGTCTTAAACTTTGATTCCAGTAATTGAGTTGCGCAGAGTCTTTCCAAGCTCCACTATAGGGGTCCTAATCACATTCACTCTAATGGAATTCTTTCATAGTTCCTTCTTACTCACTCTCCCGTAAGCTCTACCATCAGGTAGGTAAAGATCAGGTGAAGGATTGGCTCGTTCTTCTAAAGGTGCAAGTATAAAAAATTCCCTCTTTGACAAATCGTTGGACCAAACACAGTCGACCTTGAAAAATATAGTCTGAACCGGGTCATCACAACAACAAAGTATCACTTACTGCCATATGGTTGGGAACAAAATCAAGCATAAGTTTCAAATCCGCTGCCTTTAGTTTTTCTCTCAATGCCTTGAGCCCACGGTCTCCGCCAAGCTCATCATTGACTGAATACTCTACAACAGCATATGGCGATCCAATGATATCGGCATCAGTACAATCAGGCAACTTTTCTAGAAAATTCTCCCGACTCTTTGGATCCTTACGATCGAGTTGTACACCATAGTTTCCAATTTTCCATATTCCTTGAAGCGACAATGAATACTATCTACGAAGGACGAAAAGTCTTTACCTTGCATCCAGACCATATCTACTCCTCCAGCCTTCAGTTCATAAAATTCTGATAGAGGAACGTCTGCCAAAGAATTGATACGCGTGCCATATTTTTCTTTCAATTCATAAAGCCAAGCTCTTGAGCTTATTTCATACAATATGAATCCTTTGCTGTTACTGTACTGCGGCAAGTCTCGATTCACAAGCAACTGCATCGTGTCAACTTGACCAGCAGGAGGCTTTTGAGGTCCAATATAGTTTAAAAGACTTTCTTCCACTCTTCTTCCATAGACCAAGTTTGCAACAAGCAACAACCAGATCAAGTTGCAATAATTCATGGCAGCAACAGTCCACACAATCGAATTGTACTTTATAAATGTCTCTTATGCTCTTCTTTTCAACCCGTCATATACTATTGAGGATGTATATTCCATTGATTTCATTAATAGTGTATTGCAAATAAAGACAATTATTCGTATGACTGATAAGATTTATTTTGCATGAATAAAAACTTTATTGGATTCGTTTGCCATTGAGAGAAATCTTATGGAGAAGTTTCAAAAACTTGAAAAGATTGGTGAAGGGACTTATGGAGTTGTGTACAAAGCTAAAGACAAATTTACTGGAGAACTTGTAGCTCTAAAAAAGATAAGATTGGAGCACGAGGAAGAGGGTAACACATCTTTTTGTTTCTTCTTTTGTCAGTTCTAAGAAAACTTTTACTTAGGTGTGCCTTCCACAGCTATAAGGGAAATTTCCATTCTAAAGGAACTACAACATCCAAACATAGTGAGGTATGTTGTTCAAGTCTTTATAAAAGTGCTTTTAAGGCATTGTATTCCAGGCTTAGAGATGTTATCCATCTTGACTCCAAACTGTACCTGGTCTTTGAATATCTCGAACAAGATTTGAAACATTTTATGGATAGTTTACCCCCTGGAAACCTGGACCCTCTTTTAATCAAGTCTTACTTGTACCAGTTGCTGAATGGATTGGCATATTGTCACGCCAACCGAATCCTTCACCGCGATCTTAAGCCCCAAAACTTGTTGATTGATAAGAGAGGTTTCTTGAAGCTTGCCGACTTTGGCCTTGCAAGAGCTTTTGGAATTCCTGTGAGACATTATACTCATGAAGTGGTGACCTTATGGTATGTATTTTAATCGTCTGTTGCAACTTTTCTATTTCTTAAAGGTGAGAAAGGTATCGAGCACCCGAAATTCTTCTTGGAGCACAAAGGTACTCCACTGCAGTAGACATATGGTCTGCAGGTTGCATTTTTGCAGAGATGATATTGCGAATACCTCTTTTTCCTGGAGATTCAGAGATTGACGAACTTTACAAAATTTTTCGTGCACTTGGTACACCTAATGAACAAATCTGGAAGGATGTTTGTTCGCTGCCAGATTACAAGACTACTTTTCCTTCTTGGTATGTCCGACTGTTTGACGTATTTTCTAAATTGATTTGGTTCAGGCCTCTTAGGCATATACGAGAAACTGTTCCGTTTGCAGATGAAGCTGGTTTGGACTTGTTGTCGAAAATGCTTGTTTACGATCCAAACTATCGTATAAGTGCAAGAGCGGCGTTGACACATCCTTACTTTAGTGAAATTGCTCAAAATGTTGCTTCATATGCCACATACTTTTAGTCTTTGTTGTATCAATACATCTTAAGTTTCGTAGAGTTGGTGTGAATTTTGTCATATTATAGTCAACCTTCTTCTTTCTGTCATTCTTTTATTCCGTTCTTATGGAAATGACCATTCATAGTAACACTTTTATCGGGTCATAGTGTTTGATTTAGCGTTTTGTCAATAATATCCTTGTATTAAAATGAATACATTTATAACCTGAACTGCGAAGATTGACAGTTTTATGTTTTGGATAATATGGAATCTTTCATGTTAAATTTGCTCTTGGTTTAGTTTGCCGAGAAACTCAACAATGAAAGAACGGGAGATATCTACCTTGAAGAAAATTCAAAGCATGAAACAGCTATGAAGATAACGCTGTTTTAGAGAATTTTCAAGAGAACTCTTGAGTTCCTCATATGCCTATCTCCGCATTAAATTGGAGCACGAAGAAAATGGAATGTATTTCAAATTTTGGTTTGAATGGCCTTGACAAATGGCAAAGCACTGCTACCAATATGTAGTGAAGCAACCATTCAAAAACTGAAAACGGTGGAAAAGAATGAAGTATTACGCGTTGTTCACTCGTTATTGGAAGAAATTTTAGTTTTCAAGAGAATAGAGAACTCGCAGTCTTTCAAAAGGGCGCTGGAGGTTGCATCTCATTACGTACACGGACTATATTTAGCCTTCCTGGACCAAGAAATCTTGGTTTTGGTTTCCGATTTCACTCTTAATAATCTTGAGGTTCTTTTCAACTCATTGAAAGGCTATTCAAGTGAGCGGTATTCGCTTTGTACAACAGATAACGGTGAAGGCGTTCTATCTTCAAACGCTTACTATGCTTCTCAGACTTTCAGGGGGTTTATCAAAATGATTTCTCACACAACCTATTTGAGAAAGATAATAGAAAAGTTATTGGATATTGCACAGGTTATTCTTGATGTGTATAAACAAATGCCGCTCTTAGGTTATTCTTTAACTCAAACAATATTGGACGCTTTAGAGTCAGGAGTTGTCCATTATTTTGGACCAAAAGATGCTGAAAGCTTATTTACTTCTCTTCTAAATTTCCTAAAGTATTCCATAACAGTCAACAACGATGTTCAAACATCCTGCCTCATCGCAAGCACCTTGTCCATCCTGGTTTCTTATGTAAGTTTTCCTTCCATGAAGATATCGTTTGGGAGTCGTGTGGCACGCTTCTTGGAGTTGCTTTTTGAAAGGAACTTACTGAGTCAACAATTTTGTGTTCTTGGACAGGGAAGCTCAAGTGAACTGTTAATGAAACTGACCATACCTCTTTTTGGGTATCCGTATCAAGATCTTTCCTCTTTGAGCAGCTCTTCTCTCCACAAAATCTTATATTTGCTGAGTGTTTATGGTCATCCAGTTTGTTATAATGACGGAATTTGCAGTATACAGAGGAACTACGAAATACAAGGCTATTGTTTAGAACCAATGAAAAAAAAGCAGAAAAGTCTTCGTCCTACAAATTCACTTAGAGTATTCTATGAGACTGCGGAACATTTGTTGAGACTTTTATCTCATACCGATGCAGAGTTATCTGCGTTACAAGCACAAATATATGAAATTGGTGCCATAGTTGCTATTCAAAGACTATCCATGATAGGTACAAGCCTCAATTACTTGAAACAAAATGTACAAGGGGTTAATCATTTGCTGCTTCCCTTAACT